TTATTTATATACTGATTTGAATGTCTAGTTCTCATGACTTATGAATTCATTCGTTATTATGAATTACAGTAAAACCTTCCATAGTGGACACCTCCGTATAGTGGACACTTCGCGGTCCGACAGAGTGATTTTTGCTGGAATCGAACCTCTGCATAGTGGACACCATTCTTTAGAGTTTGGACAGTGTGTTGTAAATCCTTGGTTAGCAATCAACGCTGCTAAATTACTTGACATCGATTCTTACATTCCTGTTTTCAACTGGAGAGATGCTAATTTATAGTTGAAGGGCTGGTTGACGCTGATATAAAAATGTTGATCATATCTCTCTGGCGGAAAGCCTGCCCATCTTGTCTGAATCATTGACAATCATGAGGAGGCTTCATATTTTTGTGGATAGCTTCCTCAATACGACAGAAAGAACAAGCCAATCGGTCTAGAAGCTGTCTCATTTTGGAACGAGAAAAGTCATATTGATCTCACTCGCGTTACGTTTTCAAAAAACAGACTGCTTTTTGATCAACTAGCTATTGGATAATAGGACAATGCGTTCTGTCGAACTTATACTGAGAGAAGCGAAATGAAGATGGGAGGATATATTTTACACAACATTATAACTACTTTCAAACGGTCAAAAAACATAAAAGGTGAACAAGCAAGTCTGATTATAACGGTGAAAGTGAAGCTCATTCTCACTCTTACCTTTATTCAGGTCATGATCGTTGATTACTGACGAAACAAAGTGTAATCTGTTTTGGAAAATGCGATAGGAATGAGATCAATGTAACTTTTCCCGTTTCAAAATGAGAGTGTCTCTATGTTGATTAGCTTAACTATTTATATCTTTTAGACAAAAGCGCTTTTTGTGTGCACTCAGCAGCCTAAAATGCACATTCGAGTCTTCAGTCACAAATGACAATTAGCGGACATTTTTTAAAATCGAACTTAGGAAAAAATTATTTTTATAATTCTGTCTGAATTATGACGTTATTTTTAATGATAAAAACAAACGAAGAGCGAATTACTAACGTGCTAAGCCTAGTTATTTGAGACATTAACGTTCCGCAGATATCTAGAAAAACGTGCCTTCTTGTTTTAAAATACATTGACTTTTAGAAAAGGCATAACCTCTTTATAGTGGACACTTTTGAAAAGTCCGAAGGGTGTACACTATAGGAAGGTTTTACTGTAAATGGAATGCTAGAAAATTATGATACTCTTCTAATTTATTAAAACAAATCGTTGAATTTATTCTTGAATATTTTACGAAAAAACGAAAAAATCAAACGTACTCACGAACCTAAATAGTTTGAAACAATTTTTTTTATTCCAACGTTCCTTAATTCTATGTCTAGATAGTATGTAAAAAGTTTGTTTAGAATAACAATTGACTTATTTTTTTATATTTGATTTTCAACTTTTAAACTATAAATGAAGATGCATTAGCAATGTACAAGTTTTTTCTCATAAATATTATGTTTTAGTTGTGAAAACTTGTTTTGTTTGAAATTAATTATCAAATAATTTTGTTTAAAAAATGTATGCTGAATTTCTTTTATAAATACATAGAAGGTTCTATAGAATATCGGATATGTTGAAAGATCTTCGTAGAATATGCTGAAAAATATGTATATTAACGATGAATAACTCTTTATATAAGAACATGTTTGATTCTACTATATCGAATAAATAAACTATAAGTATTACATTTTAATGTTTCGATGAAAATTTTGAGAAAAGATATCAATTTGAATAATCAAAAAAATACCTAATAAAAATGCGAATCCTGTCAGAATTCTCTCATCTTTCTCTACATAAGTTAATAAGAAAATCTGAACTCTTTAAAATACAATAGTATGCATAGTTTAACGTTTTACAAGGTTTTTAATAAACCTTTCCACGCAATAGAATACTTCGACTTTTCTATTATGTCCAAAGATAGAGATTTTTCAAAAGGATCTTCTCTTGCGTCTCATTTATTTTGGGGTATTAGTAAAATACGCTCTCACCCACTCTGACTCACTCTCACCGAGATCTTATTAAGAGGGTGTAGGTATGGGTGTGGGGTGAATTTTGTACTGTAGGTGGGGTGTGATTTGGTATCAGCGTGAGCATGAAATGTGCGTAAGGTACTAGTGTAGGTGTGGATGGAAGAAGGCCCACATCCACACACACAAATATGCACTCCCACATCCACACTTCGCTTACACTCACGACGAACCCACATTCACACCTTTCCATATCCACGGCCAAATCGATACCCACAACCACTACGCACACATCGAAAACCGAAACTCAATCTCACACTTCCACATCTGCACCATATGAGATTGGGTGTGGATATGAGTCTTCTTCCATCCACACCTACACTCGTACCTTACACACATTTCACGTTCATGCTCATACCACATCACACCCTATCCAAAATCCACCCACACTTATCCACATCCACACTCCAACCCAACCTACACCCATACCTACACCCTGTTAATAAGATCTGGGTGAGAGTGAACTCATAAAAATGATATTTGATTCCTTTGTCTAAGATTTTTTGAAGAAAATGGATCGGAGTGGGGTCTTGTGAATGGACAATTTTATGCTCTATCGATTGATACTATTTTCGAATTAAACGGCGGTCAGAGTGGGTGAGAGCGTATTTTACTAATACCCTTGATTTTGCATAATTTTTCATTAATAAAGTTTTTGAAAAAAAACAAAATAGATGATCAACGATTTTGAAAGAAATTTTTAGAACTTTGAGAGCTTTGAAATCTAGAAATATTTTGCCATAAATATACTAAGTAACTAAATTCATATGAAATTATGAAGAATCATTATATTTTTATTTAATAGGTTTTCCAAACTATCATGATCGATCACAAAATAAAAGATATTTATAAATAACGATCCCATTTTTACTTTTTTATATCTTTGGTCTATTCACAGATAGAGCAATATTGGATATATATATTTGAAGAGTAAAACTTAAGTGATTATTCAACAGAAATTACACTCAATTTGCATGAATCGTAAGAAAGTGTCACATTAGTCAAAATGTTGAAAAAATTCTATTAAAGTTACTTTTTTAATTTGTTTCTGTAAAGAATAGTCCATTCAATATTTTGTGAATATATTTGCCAGTTTTTGATGTTTTGACTGGAGATTTTCTCTAAAAGATCGTTTCTACTATTTTCGATAAAGTCTAACAAGATACTTATTCAAAAGCATAATCGAAAATTAGACCTGATTAGCAGTACTGCACTCTAAAAAGATTAACTTTCATAAAACGAATTATTTCGCTACCCTGATTGAACATATTTCAGAAATTTTACGTTACTCTTTTGAAAAGATATTTTGATTGACAAAATATTGAATGGGTTATTCTTTGACAGAAAAAAATTAACAAAATAACTTTGATAGAGTTTTTTCAATATTTTTACCACTAGCACTTTCTTACGGTTGACGCACATTGATTGTAATTTGTATGAATTCTTCCTCAACATCTATTCAGTAGACATTTTCGATATTTGCTAATTGCCATTGTTTTATTCAATTTAAAAATATTTTCATCTGCTATGAGCAAAGACTATCCTTTTTAATCGAACAAACGTGATAAAAATGGAGCAGCTGCAGTGATAATAATAAAATTTCAGTTATATTGCAGTTAATTGTCAGACTCGTTTAGTTAATTAATATCAAGTCTTAGAGTCATGTTTTACTGAAGACATCTTTTTTTTTGTCATTTTCCAATACACTCATCATAATATCTCAGTTCAGTATGGACAATATTTTGCTTTTCTCCATATAGCCATAATAGTTCCGCGTTAGCAGAATCTTGAGAAACACTTACTAGGAAAGAACAATCTATTGAAAGATGCTTTTCTTTATTGAACACATACTATGAAGTTACTTTAGTACTCTTTTACAATGTACTCTATAAAATTTCTTAGGTTCTCCATACGACCCAGACATTCATATAATCATAGGATTTTAATTGACACGATCCATCCTCACATGAATTACACATGAAGAGATCTTTCGAATATAGGAACATATTTTCTAGAATCTAGTTACGTATTGATTAAAAATTCTTTTCATTCTCTCAGATTCTTCTAGAGATTCAGATACATATTTCTTAAAAGAAAAACGTATTCATAATTGAAGCTAAATATACCTTTAGGCGACACGCCGAGGTTTGTTTTATTTCATAAGCCTTCTGAGCCTGAGAATATATTCCTTTTCACAAAAAAAAAGATCTACAAGCATTTCTCGAAATACATACACAAAAAAAGGACTGAAGTTATATTCAACCTTTTTTTTTATTTTTCTATAAATGACTCCTTCACACATAACTAGTGGTACGTTTCACTATGAATGAATTTCATCTATTCTAATCAAATCTCAACATAAACAACTGACTAAAATAAAGATTAATAACAAGAAAATGAATACTTTTTGTTTCAGTAGCTATTGAAAAGATTAAATGTACTCAATGAGAGATGTTATTGTTTACAAAAAAGAAACAACATTTTTGGATATTGTACTCATATATTGATTTTATTTACTCTATATACATTCTTCTTGTCAACAGTTTCTCATGATATTATCTGATTTTTTTTCTCATTCTAGGCATGTGAAATAAATTTGTTTACTAACGAAGTATTGGACAAAAATAAGAATTGTCAGTAAAACTACCAAAAACAAAACCCAATATGACTGTTTTGAAATATTTTAATAGAAGATCTCGCATCATTTAATATATCAAAGGTTTAACAAAAGTTATCTAAGAAAATTTCAATTTCACAATCAATAGATATTAATTTCTTATAAAACTTTAAAGAAAATGAAAAATCTATAAATTGTTTAATTATCAATTCAGTAGATTTTTTTATAATATTCTATATTTAAAAAAACATAATAACTTGAATTATATTTATTATATTTTAATTAAACAGACAACATAAATAAAAATAAAATATAGTCGTAGATAGAAATCATTACAGTTATCTAAAAAGACATTTTGTTAATTTAACAATAGGTATACTTGGACATGAACTACCATGATTCCATGTTGTTGAAAAATGCATTGTAAGTAAATCATTTTGTATCCAAATAAATCTATTTATTGCTTTTATACCATGACGTTTTGTTTTTTCATCAATATTTTCTGAATTCATTATAATATCAATTAATAATTGTTCTAAATAACAAAATATACCATTCATAAAAATATAATCAACATTAATTGATGATGAACCACCTTTAGTTGTATGTATTTGACCAACTCTTGATAAATATTCAAGAAATGAATCATTCCATTCATGTTGTGTTAATACACGTTTTAAATAAACAGTTAACATATCTTTTCGAAATTCTGTTTGAACAACATCTAATGTTATACCAAAATCTTTATTTGGTGTAAAATTTTCAAAACCATCATTACGTAAATGAAAAAAACGTTTTGTTACATCAAATGAATATAATTTTTTATATACTGATTCAATAGCCACTGGAAGAAGTGGAAATATAATTGGTGCCAATGTATTAAGTGTTATTACATCATCTTGACTAAAATCAATAAGTTTTGATACAAAATCAAAACGATAACGAAGATCATTATTAAGTCGAGTTTTGTCGATGTGTGCAACCATCATGATGGTAATATTTAGAAGAAAAAAAAATGACATGTTTCCTTTTCTATTTCATCTAAATATATATTTCATATGATGATATTAATGCTAATTCATGCGTGATTTACCTTTCCGTCATTCGTAAAAAGAAAAAAAGAAAAAGAAAGAGAAGAAGAAAGACTTTGTTTGGTTTTCTTCAGATTTATTTATTTTAGTGATACGATTTAAAAGAAAAAAGATGCTTATACTAGAATGAACGATTGAGAAGAATAAAAGAAGATAAAAACAAAAAAACAAACATTGAAAGTAAATCTTCTGGTACTTTCTGAAAAAAAAAACTCTTAATAAGGTTATGAATAAAGTATTAGAAATATTGGAATTTGAAAAAAAGAAAAATAAGTGCTCAAAGTTCATATCTATTTTTAGAATATAATTATAAATAATTTTTTTACAGTGAAAAATTAATACATGATTCAATATCATATTTCTTCTCAATATAACTATAATTAATAAGCATGTACATTTTATAACGATATTTTTGAGAATTCAAAGTCATATAAAAAACAAAAGCTATACGCAATTACTCTAATATTTTCCACAAGCTATGCTCTCAGGATTATAATAAACAATATAAGTCATTTTTTTGGTCGTAAATACACTAGTGACTTTTTTTAATGTTCGCTCTAGGTCTCAGTTTTCAATGCTACAATAATCAAAAGTAATTATCTTCTTCCTCATTTAGTAAAAAAATAAACAATTTATTAGATATACAATAAAAAAAAAAAAATCTATGCAATCAAGCATTAAAACCTTTGAACTTGTTTTTAGATCTGTTCAAACAACACCTACATGCCAATCAAGGAATGTATCTTCTAATGAAATACTTTGATGTTTTTCGTTCTAAGTGAACTACAAAGTATGATTTTCAAATAATTTTTCTATGAGATAAATTTTAACACATCAAGGTAGTCAATGAAAAAAATTTAGATCAACATAAAGAATAAAAAAGTAAATAGAAAGTGGAGACAACATATTATCACAATCTAAAAAAGCATTTCAAACACATTTACCATTTTACATTAATGAGATTGTCAAAAAATATTAGTGTCCAATCTACTGACAAGAATATTATTCTTGTCATATTTCACTACTTATAAAAGTATTTAACTTTCTTACAAAATCTGAAAAACAATTATTCGAGCTATTTATCATATTAACAAAGTATTTTTTTTTGTTTTTGATATTCAAAATAAATTTACTAGTTCATTTTAATGCACGTTGCGTTCTCATTGATTATTCAATTGCAATGCTTTGATATAATTTCAAATAGATTAAAATCTAAATGAATTTTACAATATAGATATATATATATATATTTTTTTTTCTCTAATATTTATTGAATAAAATCTAATAAAAACAATCAATTCAAATCTTATTCATAATGCATTCGAAAAAAAATCATTTTGAATCCAAAAAAATTTATTAATTGCCATAATACCTGCATATTTTGTTTGATTATCAAGATTTTCTGATTTTAATATAATAGCAATAAGATTTTGTTCTAGATATCCACATAAACAAGTAATATGAATTAAATCGACATGAATTAATGGTGAACCAATTTTATTTGTATGAATTTTTGCAACATGAGATAAATATTGAAGAAATGAATCATTCCATTCATTTTGTGTTAATATACATTTTAAATATTTACTTAACATATTTTTTCGATATTCCATAAAATCAGAATTAACAGCAAGATTCGATCGATTTGTTGATAAAAAATTATCAAAACAAGAATGACGTAATAAAAAATATTGTTTTGTTATATCAAATGAAAATAATTTTCTATATACATCATCAACAATAACTGGTATAAGAGGTTGAATAATTGATGATAATTTATTAAGTATTGTTATATCAGTTTGAGAAAAATTAAGAAATTTTGATATATATTCAAAACGATAACGAATATCAGTAGTTAAACGATTTTTATCGATATTTTCTGCCGTCATATGAATAATAAATAGTATTTCTTTGCTTGTCTTTGGTTAATAATACAAATCTTATGTTACTACATATAATTTTCTATTCTGTCTGTTGTATATCAACAGATGTTAATGGAAGAAAAAGAATTTTGACAGTATATTTATTAGTTGCAATTACACAATAAGAAAATCTAAAGCAAAAAACAATACTCAATCAACTCTGATCGAAAAAAAAAACGTTCTTCTTTATGTTACATGTATAACTATGTATTAAGAAATACATCTGATATTAAGTTCGGCATCTATCGCATTTATATATCAGTATCATTTTTGCAGAAGTTAAAAGGAATAGTAGAAAAAGTTACAAGCTGATGTAGAGTAATTCTAGTAATATTGACTGGCATCAACATAGATTATTTTACAATGACTAAAACGACTATATAGTTTATATAATAATACATAGAAAGAAAGACTATTCTATTTTTCAATGGACAAGCGCTGTCTGCATATTTTTGGTATCCGTATTTTTCTCATTATATCATGAAATACCCATAATTCATTTTGTATATGTATATGTCAACGTTGTAATTTGGCTCTGTAATAAATCTAAAAGTTGACATATATCCGAGTATGGACGTTAACATACACATCTATGTATTTTCTCTTAACTATATTGTAAATGTTACCCTAACGGAATACTCCGGCTATCAACATGCCATAGGTACTTGGTATTATAGGATGCTTGTTAGAATGTATAACTGAATTCGAAATTTTTAAGAGCACCCCACCTTCTTTTGTGATTAAAAACTTTATTTTTTTTTTTTCATTTTTTGGTTTTTCGTGGTCATGATATAGACTGAAGTAGAGATGTGTAGCATCAAAATATTCTATGATTTTAAGCAAATTTTCTTATAAATCATACGGATCGGAAAATAATTCATAAGAGATGATCTAAAAATCTGTTAATTGTTAATTAAATTAAAAAAATCAAGTATCGGAGAATTATTTTCGATGTAATATAAATAAATTCTGGAGCAGTTTTCTCTAGATTGAAACTAGAACTAACAATTCTGGTCCCATACATCTTTAGTCTGGAGTAGTATTTGTCTATTGAGTACATTTTGGAATACACAAATTAAAAAGTTTGAGAAGAAATCAATTTTTATGAAGCAAATTCCGAAGTGCCTCCGTTTTCTCCTGTCTATTTTGTTTCAATGAATTGAAACTTGTTTCACACGCAAAAACAAAATGTATCCTAAACAAATATATATTCGATGTTTTGGCTTGTTTATTCAGCGGACAAAAAAAAATATAATTATATCCATCTAAAACAGTGTTTATAAAAAAAAGACGTTGTCAACTTGATGAAACAAAACATTTTGAAAATAAACAGCAGCGAAAACTACAGTCCCTATGATCTCAGTATCACATAGACGAAAGTATCCGGAAGGACATCTTTCATTGTAATTGTCTAGATTAACTTGCCATGAAAATTTGAAATTGTTTTGATGAGTCGTCCTCTAGACGCTTCCGAAAGATGTGGAAGTACTCTTCATTAGGAAAATTATATAAATGATTGTATTGAGATCACGTATATTGAAATGAAAAGTTCTAAATTGAGTCAGAATATGAGTATATGATGTAAACTGTTGAGATATTTTTTTTTTAGTTTCGGATGCTTAATGAGATAACATTGTATGGTAATTATCAATGATTCTGCTTTTATGCTAAAAACAAATAAATAGGTTCTTCTGATGAAAGAATTTACGAAAAACTATTCTAGACTTTTTCATTTCATTTACGTTGATATTCTTCAATTCTGAAGCACTGATTAATTATGTATATGTAATCTATTCAATCGATAATGAAACAATAAGTAAACATTTAGTTTTGATTAGTTTAAAAGAATTATTTATTGAGTGACTTGAAATCATTTGTCATTTGTCTAGATAACATACATCCAATTGACTCAAAATTATGTGTTATAATAAGGAAAAAATTCCTTGTAGTATAAAAAATTTAATAAATAATTGATGCGTAAAACCACATTGATACGTCGATGTTTTTGCTTTGTAAGTACCTGTGGGTGTGGATGAAGAGATTAGATACACCCACATCCGCAACACAAGACATCAAAATGTGCCCATAATTTTAAACATCAATTATTTATTAAGTTTTAGCTGCGAGAAAATGTATTTCAAATGGTTGTAGTCTAAAATTTATGAATATTATTTCGTTGAGTGTAATTAACAAATCAGAAACATTTTTTTATAGTACTTGCTCTAGCAAAAGATCTTGTTTTTTGTTTAGTGACTTTTGTGTTGATACTTTTCATCAGCATGAATAATCAATTCGAGTTAAAGTAAGTATGATGACAAGAGCTTGAGTTGTGTCGTGGATGGAAAAATAGATAAGAGGGTGTGGATGTGAGTGTAAGATATGGTGTTTCGCTGACGCACACCCCGACACCCCCACAACCATACCCTAAATCAAGGAACTATTTAAAGAAAAACTGAAATGAAAATATACAAGATTTTTATGTTCAATCGAGTTATCCATATACAGCTGTGTATGCAAAACAAAACGGTGAAAAAATGATGAATAGATAGAACATGACACTTGTTATTTTAGTATGTTCCATTCCGTTCGTCCAAGAAAATACATCTGTTGAAAAACTCTTTGCGGAAACGGGACGTCATGAGGGAATTTCTATCACTTTTCAATGAACATCATGTCGATTTAATGAGTAATAGCAGCCTTTTTTCTCGAGATATCGAAATCCTCTTGCACTTGAAAATATTTTCTCACCGATCATCGTGTTGACTTCACGACGAATTACATTTACACAAAATTCATGCACACATTGTTGGTTCTCTTCTTCCAAACAATATAATGTTATGTGAATTTTCAATTTTATTATTTAGAATATACTAGAATGATAACGTGATTCAATAAGAAAATATTTAGCTTTTTGTGTTTGAAGAGATTTAATTTCTTCTTGATTATTTCGCGACAAACTTCATTCAAGAAACAAAAAAAATACGTCATCGTGTTTATTTTTTTTATAACCTTCATATACACTTTTTAATCCATTTGCTTTATATTTCCACATAAAAATAACCTTGGTACTAGCAAAATATTCGATTTCTTATACTATATATTCATCAAAGAAAACGCATTTATTCCGATATTAAAATGCTACGAAAAGAAAGAAGTCTTATAGAACTGAAGGTAATGAATACAAGCACTATTATCATCTTCCTATTCACATTGTAGGTGTACGCAAAAACTATTTATAATTAACTTCTTTTAGTTTTTTCTTTCAGTTTTGTGTCATGCTATGGCATACAACAACAAAGAGGTGAAAAGTTTGTTAACACAATCTCTTCGAAGCTATAATGTTGAGCTCATATATGTTCTCTAGCTTTATCTAACTAATAAAGAATGTTGGATGTAAATGATCGTTCGTAGACTGAATGTTTTGCTGAGTAATAAAATACCAGAATAAGGACTTCTCTGATTTCTCTATTTTGCAACTGAAATTATTATTGTTCATTTTTTTTCCATTCAATTTTCTTAATTTAACATTATTATCAACCCTATCATTATATTTAACTGAAAAATAGTAAGTCTGATATTCATAAAGACGATGTCTACAGTAGATTTTAACACATTATTATATATTTCAAGCAATTTATCAACAACGATTTTAATTTTTTTCAAAACTACTACTCAATCGATTTTGCTGAACACCTTTAGAAAGCCTAGTACTAGTTTGCCTTGATCACTAAAGTTTATAATGAGTATTGTCTGCAATGAGCCCATGGATAGGCATGCACTGGAACCGAGAACAAACTGGGAATTCTGGTTTCAGTCGTTCACTTAATCGGATTGGAGAATGTCAATCATACAAGAAACAGAAATGCAACGGATTAGAAAAGATTTTATATTCGAGATTTCGTATTCAAGATAATTCAAAGTCTGGTTAATTCGGACTCGACGCATGTCAGTAATGTATGGATGCTGCTTTTTGGTAGTATTATGAACGAAAAGATGGAAAAAAAATAGGAGTCTAATGAACGAACGATGTGTAGTAATGGATGCCTGTAGTTGGGAAAGAGGAGCCACAAAAATTCTTCTTAAAATCTACATTGACAATGTTCTATGAAAATATATAGGAGTTCTAGAAAACAACATTATTTTGATTACTAGAAAACATTAGTGTCATTAGTTCTTCGTCTCTTTTTTTTAATAGTTCCACTTTGTGCAAAAGCAACGTGGGATCCTAATCCTTTCGTCGTGATCGGTACTGGTCGTCTTACTCAATCAGTAGATCTGAATCAACAATTAAGCGATCCCATGGATATTGCTTTTGATAGCGAAGAAAATATAATCATTGCTGATTCTGGCAAACACTGTTTACAAAAGTATTATCAAGATGGTAGAATTATAACATTATATACATCCAAAGATATGTTACCATCAAGTTTGTTCGTCGATGAATATGATAATATTTATTTTGCAGATCAAAATGATCATACAGTTAAGAAATTAACAAAAGCTGGAGTAATGACGATTGTAGCTGGTATTCAAGATAAACCTGGCTCGCAATTGAATCAATTAGATACACCATATGGTATTTATGTTGATCGAAACAATGTATTATATATATCTGATACAGCAAATCAACGTATTGTGAAATATTTGCCCAATAATCAAGGAATTCAAATTATTGCAAATGCCAGTGATTTGAATTTACCAGGATGCGTCTTTGTTGATGAAACTGGTGATGGTGCTCTCTACGTAAGTGATTTATACAATCATCAAGTACTGAAATATGCTCCTGGTGCATCAAAAGGTATTGTTGTAGCAGGCGGACGAGGATTTGGTAAAGCATTGAATCAATTATATCAACCACATGCTGTGTTTGTTGATTCAACAACTGGTAGTCTATTCGTTATGGATAACGGTAATTACCGTTTAGTTAAATGGTCGAAAGGTACCGAGCAAGGTGAATTATTAAGTGGTACAACACGAATAATATCAGGAACTGGTATACGATTTGATTCTCAATGGAATTTATATGTAGTTGATCAAGGAGCCAAACGTGTATTGACCTTTGAATTTAATTCGAATTCATGTAAATGAAATTCGAGGCGATTTTCACTTTGATTTTGTTGTTTTCTTTGAAAATTTTCCTACCCGTAATCGAGTTTTACTTTTTATTTATTCAAAATTGAAAAATAAAATAAAGAAATAACTTTGCCAAAAGTATTGCATTACTATTTGATGAATCGAAAGGTTCCTGATCAAATAAATTGAAAGTGTCTTTTTTTCTCGCTTAAATACAAATTTCTAAAATATAGTAATCCTTTTTTAATTGCAGTAGTTTGATTTAGCCTTTCGAAATATGTGTGTTGCAAGGCAATGCAAATTTTTTTTTTCTTGAAAGACAGGACTTTATTCTGATATTAAGAATGAGTATACATATAGGTCATCTCATTCACTTACCGGTCTACTACATGTTTGGCAAAGTATCGAAACTAAATTATATTCTTTTCAACTATCTGAAAACCAAGTGTGGTGTCGTAAACACAACACAATGAGCAAGCCACTTATGTTAGATACTAATGTTTCCTGATTAGTTCTATATTGAATACTTCTTGTATTTTTATTACTATACTTGATTTCAGCAGTACTGGTAGTCAGAGACCAATCTGTGTTACATTCTCAAGAGCCATTCGATCAAATGAAAAAGTTTGGTTCTTACAGCGCCACTCTGCAGTCAAATCAATGAATACCATCGACAAGAACCTGGAAACAGGCCTGGAATCCCAGCTTCATTCCTTCACTTACGAGGCGGCAATCTTTTGAGTTCCTCCCTTCCAAATCGAATATTTTGTTTACCTATAAAAACTGTATGGTTTTTTGATAAAAGTTCTAAAAGAATTTAGGTTTCTATTGAGCTTGGATTGAGATATCGAAATATTCCCTCTACTGAAAGGAGGGTCATACACCGAGCAAGGTTCGTATGTTCGTAACTTCGTTCGTACGTTCGTTCGTTCGCACAGAACAAAAAAATATTCTTTTGACCTTTAACGTCATCGGTTCTACAAAAAACCTTTAACTAAACCATTTCATTAATATACAATCCCCAATAACCACCCCCCCCCCCCCCTCTTAACAAATCTAGTCACTGCAACCCGCCCAATCAGATTTCAGACAACACATTTCAGCCAATCATAAGTTTTCACGGTTTTCCTATGCACAAATAAGATTGTGAAAGTGGCCATTTGAACCAATCGTAGGTTTTCATGATTTGGCTATACACCAATCAGATTTCGAGGGGTGGCCATTTGGATCAATCATAGGTTTTCATGGTTGGGCTATGCACCAATCAGATTTGGAGGGTGGCCATTTGCACCAATCATAGATTTTCATGGTTTCGCAATGCACCAATGAGATTTCGACAATGGCCATTTGGACCAATCATCAGTTTTCATGGTTGGGCTATGCATCAATCAGATTTGGAGGGTGACCATTTGAACCAATCATAGGTTTTCATGGTTGGGCTATGCACCAATCAGATTTGGAGGGTGACCATTTGGACAATTTTGCACATTTTTCGTGAGCAAGTGTTTTATACTGATTCGATTTATAAAACAGATCGGTACAAGCATTTCATTTATTTTATTGTGATATTGCATTCCATTTAGTTTTAAAAAAGTCATTTGGTATCAAGTGCGACAATTATAACACATTCTCAATGATCAAAAACAATAATATTCGTTATTCTATTAATATATGTATGAAATATGACTTATTAATAAAGATCTGATTTCTAGTTTAGTGCATGTAAATATATTCTTGAAATAAAGATATTTTGTTATTAATTGAAAGATATTTTTCACCTGCTTGATTTCGTGCATTTGAACATGCATGACATTTTTGTTTATGTATATCAAATAAAATTTTTCGAAATGAACCGATTCTAGTGAATTTTTCAAATGAAATACATTTTGAACGCTGCTATATTGGTTTTTAAGGAATTCATACGATGAGTACATCATCAATTTTACTCAAATCAATTAAGGACGCGCCATGATAGTAAAATGATAAAAAGCTGGCGACAAATGTCTTTGATATAATTAAAAGGAACAAAAATGATGTATCAATGCCATCGACTGACAGTATCATTCTATCATTATTCATTAAATTATATTATATATATCCAAAGAATGAAAAAAACAAAGAAGTCATCACGCTCATTTATCATTCGTCTCATTTTTTTCAATTAAATCAATTAAATAGCTAAATCAATCATCCTCTTCTCTTCTTCCCGACTTCCACATATAAATAGGCGCTAGCTAAGCTGTACCGGAGTCTATTACTTTCGAACATTTACTACTAATTCACTCGCCAATTTGTTTCTAAGTTAGAATGTCATCAATCATGAATATCCGAAATTTTTCTTCACGTGTAAAACGAGAACTATCCAGGACCAACTTAGGCGGCCAAGAACAAAATCCTGAGATCACTGGAAACAAGAACAGTGTTCTTTACGGTAGTGCAGTGGATCCAAACCTTCGACCGGCATTGCTTCAAAAAACCGGTATCCAAGCCGGCAGAATTTTAGAACGTGGCACCGACCTTGTGGTTGCTCCTTCAAAATTGGTTCAGAACATCCTAGATAATTGGTATGTATTTTATATAAAAATGTACACTGATCCTTTATAGAAACGAAGCCGTTGCGGCTTTTTTTCATTACAATCAATATAATTTTTGTCAAAATGTATATTTGATCTAGTTATTTATGCATATTTTATGATGAATAAATAATCGAAAATGTGTGAAAAGACAAAAAGAGATGTTAATATGAATAGAATAAAGAAAACATATGCGTATATGTTGTACACTGTGCGAATGACTTTTTAATTGTCTTGTGAAGAACAGACGATGATCTTTTTTTCACATGTTTGTTCACGAATGTATACGCTCATCAGTCAGAATGAACGATGAAAAGTCGATTATTGTATCTATCCATATTCAAAACTGTAACATACGAATACCTACAATTTTCGTAAAATTTCTATGAAAACTTTTTTAAAGTAGAAATATCTTTCGATGCTTTTGAGTCACATGTACTTCATCTTTTATAGTTGAGAATTATTGACTGACTCTTTTTTCTAGTTTAGTGAAAGACGAAAGAAATGAAAAAAAAAAGAAAAACAGAATCTGTTTATTTTACGATTAGTACGCTTATATCACTGCGAAACTTGAGCAAATAAATCATATATTTGCTTATTCTTCTAAAGATCTATATTGATTTGTATAGATATGATAGAGAACAAAAAAAATATGTCATGATGAAGAAATACAAGAAAAAATAACCGATTTAATATCAATTGTTTTACTAATTTTAAGAAAAATAAAAAAAATATTTCCATGAGTTGAACGATCTTAATTACTGTGTTTTATCGTACAAGGAGCTTTCCAAAATAAAGATATAAGCTTTGTCATCTAGCTCATGCATAGACTCTTCGATAAAGTTCAAATTTTAATGAATATCTTGGGAGAACAGGTATATTTATCTTTTTCGTTAAGTCTCTTCCTACATAATTCATTAGCTTTTAAAAAATGTACACATAGAAGAAAGCGATATGCTTGGGCACAGAGATGGGCATCTCCATAGTAACAAGTCATAGAGTCGCTACTGTCTATTGCATTTCCCATCGACAGTAGCGACCCTATGACTTGTTACCATGGAGATGCCCATCTCTGCTTGGGCAGCATATCAAGCTTTTTCTTTTTTGAACAGATAGGTTG